ATCGAACAGGATATCCCATAGTCGAGTCCTCAACTGCTCCACGAGCTGAGCGCATGGAAAAACTAATAATAAAATTGTTTGTTCTGCTGTTGCGGCTGTGTGTGCGAAAATAATTACAGCATTATTTATGTAGCGCACGTGGGCTGCAGCAGAAGTAGGTGCTGAAACGGCAGTGCGAGCAGCATAAATAATTGCAACATATTTCACTGACCCCCTTCGCTGATTACACACAATTAAGAATCACGTCAATTGCAAGAGACGAGTGCATGTTAAGCTGCAAAGCCGTGCCAGGGGTTCGAGTCTTTAAACTCGGTGCGGGCCAACGGCCATGGGCACAATTGTGCACGGGGCTTCCCATCAGGCTCATTAAACGTTTCGCACGGCAATGGCTGAATCGATTAGCCCGCAGCCATAGACCCGAAGCCATTCGTCGGGCCGGGCTAAACAAAGAGCACGCAGCTGCCCACTAAATTATGCTTAGACTGTAATTAAATTAATTAAACCTGCACCTGACTACGGACCACAAAAGGCCAAGAGAAAAGAATCGAATTGAACGACACTAGCCCACACCGGTGTCTGTGTCTGTGTGTCTGTGTATCTGTGTGTCTGCGTGCGTCGGTGTCTGTGTCCTGTCCGGAAGGGGAAGCCGCCAGCCCTGACACTCTGGCACCATCAACCAAGTTTCATTTAAGATAAGAAATCAGCGTTAACTTTGAAAGGGTCGCACGGCAGAGAGAAGATAATTAAGCAGCTGCTTAACCTGCCTGCCACACGCTCTGTCTCTCTCTCACTCTCTCTCTCTCCCTCACTCTGTCAACTGTCAGCTGCGGCCCAGGCTGAAGCCTGTTTCTCTGTGCCGCTGCCTCTCCTAATGAAAGACAAACTCTCTCAATGCCAGTCAAACTGGGTATGTGAGTGGGTGTGCCACGCCTTAGCCGAGCACCCGTTCAGTTAGCCAAGCATACCTTTTGGCCCCAACCGGCTATTGGCCATCCTGCCATATTTGTACTGTCACTTAATCGTATCAGGTGCCTGATTATCGAGCGAGCACCAGCGTAAGACGAGATTATTAATTACGAAACTTTTAAAAACTTGATTGGCCTTTCTCTCTCTCTCTCTCTCTCTCTCACTCTCTATATCAAAGCGTACCACATGCGGGTCATTAAATACTCGCTTTACATACTCAAATAGTGAGTCGCAACTTTTGACTTTTTGAATATATATGTAGATATAAAATAGAATATAATGGCAGACTTTCGTGTCTTTTAGGTCAGAGGGACTACTGTAAATGAATATATTAAATGGTTTACAATTTAAATGACATGTAGACATACATAGCTCAAAAATAACTGCTGAACGCAACCAATTGAGTCCGTTCATTCTCGTCTTGAGTTAGATGACAATGATTGGCATATGTATTTCTGAGTGAGAGTTCTGTTGGCTTAACACATCGATAGAGCATGTGAATCGATCGGAGAGAGACTTTCAACAGAACTTTAAAGTTATTCCTGAGCCACAGTGTGCGAATGCCAATCGTATTGCTCCCTCAATGATGTTCGTGACACGAATAGTTGGATTACTGATACCCAAAACGAAAAGACACGAAGGCTTTTTTTACTCAGAGCGACAGCGACAGAGCAAGCAAGCAATTAACAGTTATTCACAATCTATACGTGCAGGTGTACTGACCTTTCGACCTTTCTACTGGCTGCCGGTTTATTAACCCTTCATCCCTTTGACTTCTCATAGTTCTCATGTGCACCACAGCATAAATTTGAGCGATTTGTCTTTTGTGTCAAGTCATAGAGCAAATATTTAAACACCCACTCGCACACGCACACGCACACTCACACTCTCTCTCTCACACGCCCACTCTCACACCCGCACGTCTGCAGGGCAGTTTCAACTGATAAGCGCTCGTCGGATTTAATTACCATATGCGCCAAGCGTGGTGCAAAATGAGTTAGGGCTAATCAGGGGAAAACCAGCTGGAAATTGGGTCCAGCAAAATGCGCGCAATCGGCCAATGCGATATTGCGTATACGCCACGTGCAACGTGAAAATATGACACGGCTAGAAAAGTAGCAGCAGTTGATCCCATGTGACCTACCCCTAGGTAGTTGTTGTTGTTGTTGTTGCTGTTTTTGTTGACCTGTCGCTTAGGTTGAGCTGCTTCAGTTTGAAACAAACTTGTCGCAGTGCACCGAAAACAAGTGGACGTCGTCCTGGGAGCTATTCGAAAGTTGTTGTCGGGCATAGCTCTTTGGGCCAATGTGTTTTTGTAAAAAAATGTATTAATAGATTTCCGCAACTTGTTTTTCTCTTCTATTTTCCCCACAGGCCGGCGCGCAACGATGTGCCCTCCATGTACATTGAGGAGGACGAGCTGAACGAGCTGGAGGAGGGCGGCGGCCGGGCAGCGGAGATACGCGCCCGCATCACACCTGCCAGCTCGCACCTGTGCCACGGTGCTGGCGCCATGAGCGCCACCGGTGGCGGCAGCGGCGTCAGCGGCGGCATCGTGGGCGTCGCCGGGCCACATCACTACATCTCCGAGAGCTTCATCCAGTACGCGCAGCCCAGTCTAAACGGTACTATTCCAAAATCTATACTCAACAAACTGTAGCCAGTAGCCTTAGCTGTAATCTAGTTATCTAGTCCGACTCCCTCTACAATTATGATTTAGTCTATGTAACTCGTAATTAGCGCTCTTTTGCATCCACTTGGTTTGCTCTTTACCTCTTCAGTTCTGTTTGGAATCGCACTCTGTAATTAGTTAATGGATTGATTGCTGCAATTGAATCAAACTATTTCGAATACTGAACACTGTAAATACTTTTTAGATATTCATGCACTCGCATACGTATTAATATGTAATTTTATCGAGTAACTCTATGACCTATGTTTACGTTTATTAGCCAAATACCAGCAATGGATGAGAAATCAAATTAATAAAATGCCAATGCGACTGATGATGCGGTTCATCAATGAGTCCATCTGTCATGCGATACGATTTTATTTTCCCGTATTTTACAAAATTTATTTTAAATAGCTTCAAGTGCATGTGAGTTTAGATTTAATTAGTTGTAAATTGACTGAAATGGACGACGCGCTTGTGTATATTATTTGTGGTTAATATTGCGCACTTATTCCACTTACATACTACACACACACACACACACACACTCACTAATTCATTCATATGCAGTTCAATTATATTTTAATAAGTTGCAAATCATTTATAATATATATATTTTGAAAATTATCTAATTGGGCATTTTTCGATTTGCTAAGTAGCTTAAAACATGTTTTATTTTAATTAGCGCACATCGAAGCCATTTACCGTTCTCATTTGCAGTGAATCATTGAACGCATTTAACTCTGTAGAGCAGCACATGCAACACCTGCCCAACCAGCATCCCATGTACTTACATTGTAGCTGGCGTGGGGCCCCCGACTGTATTTAGAAATAGCTCTCTTCTAATTTTCCCCCTGCCGAGAAGCGCTTTCAAATTAACTCTACCCACTTTTGCTCTCACTCTCCCGCTCTGTCTCTCTCTCTGTCTCACTCTTTTACTATGTACCTCTCCTGTTGGTTGCTTTTAGCTCATCACCAAATAACATAGTTGAGTTTTAGAGTTGAGGGTTTAAATACCTTGAGTAATACTTAAAGCAATGTAGTGCACAGAGATTCTTTCGTACATTTGCAATTTTCACCAACCTTTTACTATTGTACTGCCCTACCCCCCTCTGCTATCTGTGTCACCACTAACGATGCATTCAAACACTGTTACCGCTAACCCATCCTAGGCGACGTGCTGCTACCTTTGCTTGTTACTGCCAGCCAGCCGACTAGCCGCTACCACCGAGCCGTTGCCCCGCTCACCCACTCGGCCACAATGTCGGACGTGGTCGTGGCCATGCCCCACCCGGCTGCCGCAAAGCTATGTGCAACGGCTGCCGATGCAGCCGCCTGGCCGCCTGAATGTATGCAAACTGAATTTTATACAACAAAATCTGTGCACAAAACCTGAAAGGCAAGAACCATTGCAGAGAAACAAAAACGATTCTACAACACAGACACGCACACACACACACACAGACACATGCACACTTCATAACTGCAGCAGGAGCAACAGATTGAGCTTTAGCTGGGTCTTAGTCATGCGGTGCTCCACTCTGCACCACCTGCACCACCTGCACCACCGGCAAACGACGATTCATCAAGATTTAAGTCGGCCAAAAGACTTCACAAATACACTTTTGAGTATCAGAATTCAAATGAAAGCACAAAAACTACTTGATTTCACAATTTTTTTGTCACACTTCACACAGCCCTCGAATGCCACACTCTATTCACTGCAGAGAAAGGGGAATGCGAATCATATGAATACCATTCATAAAAAACAAATAATGAAATTTTATATCATTCAAAATTAAATCATTCAGAGCACTTGGAATGACTTACTTTCGAATTTTAATTCACACTTATTACAGGGTATTTGGCAGTCGTGTTGCAGCTCTTGTGGTTTTATGTTTTCAATTCGTCTGTGTCTTTTGTGGATGACTCTGTCCCTGGCATTTTCTCTTTATTGTGTAAATTGTGCTACAAAGCCACAAATTTCTTTTAATTGAGGGAATTTTGGCAATTGGTGTTGGTATTCCAGCTGCCCAGAAGGAGCCGTAATTGCTGCAGCAGCTGCGACAGCTGGAGCATGTGGACTCAGAAATGAAGAGTCTTTTGGCCGTTTACTCTGCTTAAACGTGATTGCAGTTCAATGCTGCTGCCCAACGGTAACCAGGCTCTATATTAGATACTTT